AACCGAATAGAAATTCATCGCAACGGGCGCGCCTAACCATGGAGGCGCATGGGAACGCCTCGTACGCTCAGTGAAGACCGCACTCGAAGCCACCCTACACCAAAAGAGCCCACGAGAGGAGACGTTAGCGACGCTCCTGACAGAAGAAGAGAACACAGTAAACTCTCGACCGTTGACGCACGTACCGGTCGATATCAACGACGAAGAGGCGCTTACACCCAACCACTTCATACTGTTGGGATCAACGGGCCTACCAGTCACCGCGCCGTGCACACCCATGGATCGTCGGGCGTGGAGAGCGGCGCAGGGGCTCGCCGACGAGTACTGGAGGCGCTGGGTGAAAGAGTACCTGCCGACGCTAGTTGCGCGCGGGGACTCCCGAGATGCTCAGCAGCGCCAAATTCAAGAAGAGGACCTCGTCGTGGTTGCGGACGGCAACCTACCAAGAAACGTGTGACCACGGGGTGTCGTGACGAAGACATTTCCTGGACCGGACGGTGTGGTGCGCAACGTCGAGGTCAGAACCAAGCGTGGAGTGCTGCGGCGACCCGTCAGGAAAATAGCAGTCCTCCCGAGGGAAGCTTAGGGTCGCAGGCTACGCCGTGGGTATAATGATACGAACGGCGAAGAAGGCCGCCGCCCCGTCGCCCCTTCATACCCCGTTGCGCCCCGCGCACCCCGCACACCGGCAGCAGATCACGCGATGTCGCCGACCAATCAGCGCGCGGCATCGCCTCACGACGCTACTCACATACTGAGACGCTCTCTTGTGGGATATAAGAAGGGCGTTTTGGTCTGTGAGGCAAAAGCTGCTTTCCGGAGAGCAGCAAAATATCCCACGCCCGAATATAGGCGCACGGCCAATCGTCTTCAACGAGAACTCCGTTTCCGCCGCTCTAAATTTCGAGACCTCGAAAAGAGTAAGCTCATGGAGAATATCTCTCCCTCTCATACAGCGTACTATCAGATGGCAAGAGCCCTCCGCATAGACGCTATCACCCACACTCCCCCTCTCTCCCGTGCCGACGGTACGGTAGCCTTCGAGGACGAGGAAAAGGCTGAGTGCTTTGCAGACAGTATTGTCGCTCAATGCTCTCCTAGCTCTCAACCCGTCGACCCCTCACACGTCCAGGCAGTGGAGGATGAGGTCCGCCGCCGGAACTCACACCCTACAGCCTCCGAACCTATCTTTGTGTCCAATGATGAGATTTCATCCCTCATCAAAGGACTTAAGCCTAAAAAGGCTCCGAGCGCGGATGGCATCTCCAACCAAGCCCTAAAACACTTTCCTGAGCAGGTGCTAACCCTTTTATCTGTTATCTTCAATGCCTGCTTCAACCTTAGTTACTTTCCCACTACGTGGAAAGAGGCAACTGTGATTGGTATTCCCAAGCCAGGCAAGCCTCTCAACCTCCCCTCCAGTCATTGCCCCATTAGCCTCCTCAAGGCCATGGGCAAGCTCTTCGAAAGAGTCATCCAAACTCGCATAAGGCGCCATCTGTTTCCCACAGACGGTGACCCTCATATCATCTCCCATCAATTCGGTTTCCGAGCGAAACACTCTTGTCCCCAACAAGTTCACCGTATTGTGGAATATATCCTCAGCGGTTTTTATCCTCGTCGTCGTAAGACCATCACGGTCTTTTTCGACATAGCTAAAGCCTTTGATAGAGTCTGGCATGAAGGCCTTATCTACAAATTATACAAAATAGGTCTCCCCGATCGTCTAGTACGTCTCGTGGCCTCTTATCTAAAGCATCGTACCTTTCGTTTTAGACACAAAGGCACGCTATCTTCTCAGCGCCCCATCAAAGCTGGTGTCCCTCAGGGCTCAGTACTTGCTCCTCTCCTGTACATTTTGTTCACCAACGACATTCCCATCCCGTCGAAAGGTGTTCAGCTCTCCCTCTTCGCAGATGACACTGCCCTATACTGTAAAGGTATCTCGCTACCTTTCATACGGAACAAGATCCAAAAGTCAGTTGATGACCTAGGAGCTTGGTTCAAAAAATGGCGCATCGACGTGAACCCGGAGAAGAGCTCCGCCGTTCACTTCGATTGTAAACGACGCCGACTCAAAAACACTCCACCAATACTTATGCTAGGGACCCCTGTCCCCTGGCATACGACTGCAAAATATTTAGGCGTCACCCTTGACACGAGGCTCACTTTCAGGTCCCACGTCAAAAGAGTAACCCGTCACGCAAGTTTTTACCTGGGTAGGCTCAACAGTATGTTGGGCCGACACAGTAAAATGTCGCTTAGAAACAAGCGTACCCTTTATAAGGTCTGTATAAGACCAGTCACTTCATACGCGGGCCCCATTTTTGCCCACGCTGACCCTAAAATTATTAATATCTCCAAGTAGTTCAAAACTTCTTCTGTCGTCGAGCTACGAACGCACCTTGGTACGTCCGTAATGCCAACCTTCATCGGGACCTAGTGTTCCCTACAATCCAACAATTCCTTAAAAAACTCTCTGAGAACTTCTTCAAAGCCTCAGAGTCGCATTCCAATTATTTTATTTGTGAGGCAGCTAATTATGCAGCCCCACTCCCCTCCCGCTATAGCGTCCGCAGGCCGAGGAACTCCCTCTCGGACCCGCCTAATAAACTTTCAAACGACCTGAACTGCCTCCTGGCGGCTCAGGCCAACTCTAATTAAGTTATTCATAATTAATTTGCCTTCGTAGGCACTCCCTCAGCGGCTAATAGCCGCCTGCGCCCTCTTTTCCCAAAAGAGGGTCGCTTCCGATACGGCATAAGAAGCTTTAAACAGCTGGTTGCCAGTTCCCAAAGGCGGTTTTAGAGGGTATCACTTAGGTTCCCCCGGTAGGCAGTGAGTCCCTCATAACCACGATAGACCGGCTGTCGTGGTATGCGTAATGCATTTCCGCCTCCCTACATAAAGGGTAGCCCTTTTCCAATTGCTTCGGGCGCAAAAAAATGTCTGTGAGGCGTTCATTTCGAAAGCGGCACTCGAAGACAACAAGAGAAGAAACCTCAAGAGAAACCATCAAGAGAGAAGAATTTATACTCCATTGAAGACTCCCCTCTGTGTATATAGTTAATTAGTGAAAGCCGCATTTGTAAATAGTTTAATACAGTATAGTTCTACAGTACCATCTTTTCTTTGAGCAGTCCCCTAGCGTAGTATACGTCAGTCAATCAGTCAGTCATACAGTCCACTTGCAATAGTAAATTCATACAGTCCACTACAATCCCTTATAACTGCCATCTATCGGCAGCCATAAGATTTCTCTAATATTTTCCATTATTGCCACTTCGACGTTGCGTTTGAAATAGGGCGATGAATTATTTTACACCGCCACTGCACGGTAACACTACAACTAAATTTAATACAGTAACACCTTTTAAATTACTTTTGTCACTATTTATGGTTATTTATACTTTTTTGAAAGTAAACAGGCAACGCGATTCTTATCACAAAACTTTATTCGAAGGCCTAAACAAACATTTTGAACATAATCAGGTGAAAACAAAATAACAGGGTATTTTGTTTTCTCGTTTACGAGGATTTCGTTCAAATAATGTTGGGATAAAATGTCTGGAGGGCTTTTGGTTAATGGTCTGTAACGTGAGACGAAATATCCATAAAGACTTTTTTTTATAAAACTGAAGTGTCAAACGGACGCATAGCCCGCCTGATAGTAGTGGCTACTGCAGTCTCTGCAGTAAATTTCAAGTAAAGAATCCCACAGATGCGTTTTTACCTCTTAGGACAAGTATGGAATGATAAAATTATATTCTGGTTGCTTTTACCACACATCCCTCATTATTTAAAAATGCTCCCTACTACATGGCAATATGGTTTTACAACAATCTTAATAAAATGCTTATTGAACAATCAAACAAGCTTACCTGTAAGCGAAGTTCGATTGAGATTATACCTTGTTGTCTCTCCGAAGACGATGGAAATAATACTATATGTTAGTATCGCTTCTTATGCTCGATGGCGTCACATAAGTTAAAAGTAACTTAAAAATTTCTGAACGCATCCTCTAGTTGCACCTCATTAGCGCCTCAATCTGTCAACTCATTTTAGTTTAAAGCAAAAGTCTGATTCTATTTGGGACTGAGCCTGGTCTCATAGGGCATGGGCGGGTTCCATCGTCTTCGGAGAGACAACAAGGTATAATCTCAATCGAACTTCGCTTACAGGTAAGCTTGTTTGATTGTTCAATTATAGCCTTGTTGTCTCTCCTCGACGATGGAAATAATACTATATGTTAGATGTTCAAACTGTCTGAACAGAATCAGACTTTAATTGTAATCAAACTGTGACAATAAAAGTAAAGAAATGGTAACCTTATTATTAATTAATCTTTTCAACACATTCATTGTAATTGCTACAAATGAGAATATAGTCATCTAAATATTGAACCAGACGTAACCCATTCTCTCTTAACTTGGCGTTTATTGGTTTTAAAATCTTTGTAAAAACATAAGGTGCTGTACAAAGACCGAAGGAGAGTACATTAAACTGATAAAGTTTGTCATTAAAATAAAAACGTAGGTACTTCCTATGATCTAACCTAATACTTATCATGTAATATGCATCTTTAATATCAATTGTTGCCAAATAATCATCTTTGTTAATTAATTTTGTTACTGTACGATAGTCCTCTAATTTGAAATGGTCCATTTTAATAAATTTATTTAGTTCTTTTAGATTTAAAATAAATCTAAAATCACCATTTGGCTTTTTAACTAAAAATATTGGAGAACAAAATTGGTTATGCACTGGTTCACAAGTCTCTATAGCCTGTATTGACAACAACTTATTAATTTCTATTTTTAATTGATTTAATTCACTTACTGAAAAATTATTATTTAAGGAAAAATTATTTTGTACAGGTATACATATATCAAATGGAATTGAATATCCCCTAACCCAACTTAGTATGATCGATTCATTAGTCAACCTTTTCCAATTATTTACATAATATTGCAGCCTTCCTACCTGTGGTATAGAAACATCTAATGGCGTCGAGGAGGCATTGGTTTCTGCTGTTGGTGTTTTATTTTGGGCTTGGTTACTCTCTTCCCCCCCAGCCTGGTGCTCAACTGAGGAGGGCCCCGCCAGTTTAAAGTCTTTGTTTGATTTTTAAGATGCTCCTGCTTTTCTTTAAGATCTTTTCCAGACCTTTGTATGATCTTGGCACTCTTTATTCGGTCTGCCAAATTTGTTCCAAATAGGAACATATCTGAATCTCCTTTTAGAGTATCTTTAAGGCTTTGATTTACTGCATTAGTAATTAAATTTTTCCTATTGTTAGTCTCAGAGTGAAAATAATCACTTAATAGTTTGGAGGCATCATTTATATTGCGGATTATATCCATCTTATCTCCATTTTTTAATATGGACTCTAAACCAGAGCCAATAGCAGTTAATGCTGCTGCAATTTGTTTTTGTTTTTCTTTAATAATTGTATCTCTCTTAAGCATATTTGCTGAAATTGCTGACACACATTCAGGATTTAAGACTGGTGCTATAATTTTTGGTAGATTTTCAAATGGCAAATATTTCTGTATAAGTTCCTTTTTATCTTCCTTTTTTAGGCCCCTGGTTAGAATGGGAGTCCATCTGTTTGCAATTTCAGGGTGGAGAGGTGGACCTTTTTCTTGTTCAGTGCTAATTTCACCCAGAACTGCTAGTGTCTCAGCATCTAAATCCTGTGCCTCTAGAGCTATATCTGGCTGATTTTCTAATTCACTAGTAGGTTGTACTTGGTTATTTAGATCTTTAGTATTTTCCGGAATATGTGATAGTGATTGAGGAGATTCAGATTCCTCCGGTTTTCCTCTCTCTATCAAAATATCCTGCTCCATCTCCTCTGGGAAAGATCCTTCTGAATCAGATTCAGATGTAACTGTTAAGAAACAGAAAACAATTTACCTTAATGTTTATGCATCCTTTATGAAAATCTATGGCCCTTGTCTAATGTTAGACTTAGTATATGTGTTAAAGGTTCTAGACTCTACAGCCGTAGCAACCTGATATTTGCTTTGTGATGACCACGGGTTCTAGGCTCTACAGCCGTAACAACCAATAGCATCATGTAAATCTCTTTGCTTTTGTAGATCTAGGCTCTACAGCCATAGCAACTACAATAGCTTGATCCAATTAGTATACATATGGTCCTATGCTCTACAGCAATAGCTACCAATGACCTACACATTAAAAATAAAATTTAGGTTCTTGTTCTTGCAACTAATGCATCCTGTATAATAGACCAATTCTATATATATTCTATAGTGGTTCCTACTTATTGCTATATTATCTTGAACAATCTTATTTTATATGAAATGAAAGGAAGTATAATATTGCCTTTTTTTTTTTGCATGAATGTTTAATATTAAACGCACTTCCTGCACAGAGGGATGCTTAAACAGGTGAAAACAATAAGAAGAAATGAGTGAAACAGTTAATTATTTGAATTGCGTTGTTTAACGGAACATGTAGTGACAAGTTAGCATTTCATCTCGGATGATTTTAGGTAGGAACCCAAGGTAATAATAATGATTATATGTCTAGATAATGTTAGTTAATTCTGTTTTACTAAGATATGTAATAATTAGCAATACTTACGGCCCTGCTGTTTAGAAAGTTTTTTAACTTTCTTCATAAGTTTTCTTATTTTCTTTTTTACCTTCTCATCACTTCTAACTTTCTCACGTTTTCTTTTCATTTTAAAGGAAACTTTAAAGAAAATACCCCAACAAAAAACTAAATTTGCTATTGAATTTGATATTACGCAGTAACGCCGTCGTGACATAAAAATCGAATGAGTTGACAGATTGAGGCGCTAATGAGGTGCAACTAGAGGATGCGTTCAGAAATTTTTAAGTTACTTTTAACTTATGTGACGCCATCGAGCATAAGAAGCGATACTAACATATAGTATTATTTCCATCGTCGAGGAGAGACAACAAGGCTATAATTGTGAAAAGCTATTATAATTCAAATGAATATTTTAATTACAAATTATAAATCAATTGTAATTATTTTGACCTCGTTTATAATTTATTTACTTATATGACATTGTTAATATTTTCATCAAAATTTTAAATCTTATAAACGAATAACAAATAAGAAAACCAATAGTTGATATATAATATTTATTGAAATTTAATTTTAAAATAATTGTGTGTGTATTTTTAGTTTGAAATTTTATAAATTAATTAATAATAATCTATAGATCGTGTTTTATAAATATTGTAATTTAATTAAATTCTGTATTAATTAACATTTCAACTGTATCTTAAATTGCTATAAGCGCCCGTACAGGCTGTCACATATTCTGTAAATATATTATTAATGGAATTATGAAAAATATGAATGCCTCAAATCTGTAATAATACTGACTCTCTTTGTTCTCCAGGCTGGAACACAGAAATGCAAGCTATTTGGGGGCAGAAAAAGTTAAGAGAGTTGGTGTTAGATATCAAGAAGGACTTCTGAGCAGAGTAGCAATTCTATCACCACCTAAAAATGTATTTGTTAGTCGCTTCAAGTACTAGTAGAAATAAAATCACATGTGGAAGCGCATTATAGTTGCAGCACGAATGGTTGGCCTCGATTGACCAGCGATGGACCACGCCCGCACAGAACACTAGCTGTATATGTAAAGCAGCATAATGCTGCTGTGTTTCGCATCGTGATTCTAGAGAATTGGAAACCCTTTTTGCTGATATCCAGCCATCCGCTATTAGTCTACAGGAGAATCTGCATTTTGATACTTATACGTGGATATAATATGCAGGTGTAGTACAACACGAGGCGGGCCAGGAATCGAGCGCTTAGTAGCGCCTGCTTTCCCGACCCCAGCGGCGGATCTGGCCGCGGAGGGTAGGGACCGCATCAACGGTGCGGCCCCGTTTGAGTCGCGGAGGATAGGGCGAGTGGCGCATTGCCATACCAACACTCCTCTTCCTCCGCGGCTCCACCTCGGCTGCAGCGGTAGAGGGAAAAGACACCCTTCTCACCGCAACCCACCGACACACATCCGAAGTGGGCTCGTCAAGCCCACTCGGTGTGGCCACCTCGGGCCGGCCCTACACCACGGGCCAGCCAAGGGGTTCCTCTTTGTTCACCGCGGGTGACCAAGCCACGGCTACTAAGCCCCCCCGCCACGACAAGGCGAGAACCCGTTGGGGGTGGGAGTAGAGGGAGACTTGGCATGCCTAAGCCAAGTTCGGTAACCTTTATTCAAATTCATTATATTAATAACATTTAGAAAAGGTAGTTCACATAAGAAAATATTTTCTAAATGGTAGTATTCCTATTTTGCGTTTATCTTAACGCAAATGAGTACGACAACAGAACCCCTTTGTCGTATCTCCTCACTTTCAAGACACTCCCCTTGTTGCCTCAGCCAGTATCGGAATTCTCGGTGTCGACATATCGAGTGACGTGCAGTATCGTAGTCACTTCGAATTGGCCAATTTGGCCTTCTCTTCCAAGTGACTGAGTGTGGTCAAATTCTCAGGGAAGGGGCTCACCAGTACCAGCTCCTTCCACTTGACCGCATCCAGCGCAGATCGGTTCGAATCATCGACGACTGAGTTCTTTCCGATCGGATTGACTCACTGGCAGTGCGTAGAGATGTTGCATCTGTTTGAGCATTTTATCGCATCTATCACGGGGAGTGCTCTGAGGAATTATTCGGACTGATTCCAGACGCTCAAATTCACGATAACACATCGCGACAAAACTCGAGATAACATCCGTACCATCTGGATGATTGGTGGTCCACCACTGTGCAATTTAGAAGTTTTCTTTCTTTCTTTCACAACTTCCTTGTGGAATCGATTACCACTAGCGATTATTCCGGACCGACACGACTTAGGAACCTTCAAGAAGAGCCTATTCCTTTTTAAAAGGCCGACAACGCATCTACAATTCCCCTGGTGTTGCAGTGTTGCAATGTTGCAGTAGTTCGTGGGCGGTGGTAGTCACTTACCATCAGGTGATCCGCATGCTCGTTTGCCCCTCACTAAAAAAAAACTAAAAATCATGGTAGATACCATCATCTTACCTCTAATTATTTCAGCCTAAAGGGAGTAGTGAGCCAGTATACAGTATATAGTAAAAGTTTTTTCATGATAGTCCTCAGTGGTGTCAACGCATCCGTAGGCTTCTATTTTTGAATTTGTTTGCAGGTATTTTTTGTAATACGCACAGCAAAGGAGTGGAATAATTTTCCGGCGTCTATCTTTCCGTCCAAATACAATCTGGGGTCTTCAAGGCAAGAGTGAATATGCTTTTGTTACGAAAAGACAATTTATCGTCTAAGGCTGCAACACCATTTACCACCAGGTGGGATTGTGGTCAAGCACTGAGTTATAATAAATAAATAAAAAAAGTATCCATGGACTGGAGTAGTCACTTACTATCAAGTGGATTGTTAGTTTACTTGTCACGTCAATTTTGTAAAAAAAAAATGCTATACCGAACCGAGCTTTCTATTTTTTCTTACCATACGTAACAGTAAATTGTGTTTTGGAGAAAAATATTGTAATGGAACATTTTTGTGCAAACAAAAAACTCGTATTTAAAGCAGCTGTGTACCGTACGATAAGAAGTCTGACAACTTAATTTATGAACATCGCTTTTGAAATTTTCCTTATACCTGTAAAGGAATCAGGAATCCAGTAAAAATACGTTCACATTTCTCCCTTTTTTCCTTCATATTAAATCCGCTAATTTACACTCGAGCAGTGTGGCGTTCACTTTTCTGAATGGTAACATCTTATCATGTAAAGATTTTTATATAAACCATTTTAATATTTTATTGACAGCCTCGTTGATGTTATGGGCGGAAGCGTGACCCGAAGCTCAGGGGTTCTCGAGTCGAACCTAAACAAGTTATTGGGCTTTTTCTGACAATTCAATTCTCAGTCAGAAAGTTATCGGTGTTTCATCCACGTGCCTCAGAAAGCACGTCAGCTGTTGGCGCCATCACCATTTAATTATCGTAGTTGCATCGTAGACTTGGCCGATAATTTGTGTTACACATTTCTTGGCGGTCGCCGAATCATTGCTCAAACAAAATGTAAAGACTTGTTCAAATACTTTTGAATTCCATAGAGTGCTGCCAAAAGATATCATTAAATATTTTAAAACTATTGATGTTAAGAAAACAGCAGACTTATGAGGAATTTCCGTTAAAGTTATTTTATCTATAATAGATATAATAGCACCTTATCTAGCCACTATATTTAATACAAGCGTCGAATCTCGTGTGTTTCCTGATTTAATAAAACATACTAAAATCATACCTTTATTTATATCTGGTAGTACATTAGACCCAGCAAATTTTAGACCAATTTTGTACTACCAACTTTTAGCAAATTTTTGAAAAAATAATTTTAGATAAGATGTTAAGTTTCTTTAATTTTAATAAATTGCTACATAAAAATCAATTCGGTTTTACAAGGGGTCGCTCGACAACTGACGCTGGGGTTGAGCTTATTAAACATTTTTTTTTGTATATTTTGTGACCTTTCCAAGGCCTTCGACTGCGTTCACCATGAGAATGTTTAAACTTATTATTTCATATTTAAGTAATGGAATGCAGAAAGTTATTATCAATGGTAAAAGTTCTTCCAGCTCACCTGTACTAATGGGTACCCCACAGGGCTCAATTCTCGGCCCATTCCTATTTCTAGTGTATATTAATGAGTTACCTTCTCTTGTAGGAAATAATCGTGATATATTATTATTTGCTAATGATACTTCCTTGATTTTAAAAATTAAACGTCAATCATTTAAATGTGACAAAGTGAATAATGCTATATCAAAATTAGTGCATTGGTTTAACGTTAATAATCTACATTTAAACGGAAATAAAACAAAATGTATTAAATTTACAACAACGAATGTTAAAAATCTGAGTACCAATGTGCTTTTAAATGGGGAAGAACTGTGTCCTGTTGAATCCACTGCTTTTCTTGGCATCACTCTCGACGCATAGCTTCAGCGAGGCCTCCATATGTCCAAACTAGCAAGCAGACTAAGTTCTGCAGCCTATGCTGTAAAAAAGATTAGAGGTCTCACTTGTGTCGAGACAGCTAGATTAGTTGATTTCAGTTATTTCCATAGCATAATATCTTATGGGATTTTGCTATGGGGAAATGCGGCTGAATCAGAAACTATTTTTGTTTTACAGGAGAGGGCCATTAGAGCTATTTACAATCTAAAACCGAGAGAGTCTCTTAGAGATAAATTTAAAGAAATAAATATATTAACTTTGGCCTCTCAGTATATTTACGATAATTTAATGTATGTTCACAAAAACAAAAGTAGTTTTAGTAAAAAATTGATATACATTCTGTAAACACTAGGAACAAACACAAGCTAGTGAAAACACCAGTTTCTCGACTCCACAGAGTCAGTAATTCATTCTTGGGGCAATGTATACGCTATTACAGCAAGGTCCCGGAAAGTGTACAGGTTCTCTCTATTACCAAGTTTAAATCTTTTGTTAAGTTGAAACTGTATAAAAAGGGTTATTTTAGTATAAATGAATACATGGTTGATAATAACCCCTGGGAATGAGGTGGTTGCTTCTAAGCTGTTTCTAAAATAAATTTTGTACTTATATAGATTGTACAACCATTAATGTAAAATTTGCTTTTAAAAAAACGTCCCGCTGGGGTGCTTGCTGGTTCTTCCCAGGACAGAGGT